CAGTCAAATTGGAATAACACCTATTTTATATTTGTTATATGTTCCCATTCACATAGCATAAGCTAAAAAAAAAAAAAAAAATGCTTCTTGCAGTTTTAATTGCTTTTACTTGGGCGAGGGTTTCTTGGCTTCTTAAGGGTTAAACTTTCTAGTTACTTTTTTCTTCTTTGCAATGTTAGAAGGGGCTGTGAGAGGTTTAAGGATTACAACCCTGGCTTCTACATTGTATGTTAATGAGAGAAACACAATCCTTAAATGTCACTCCTTTCTTTCTAAGGACAGATCACTTGGAATGTGCTGAGCAAAACCCAGAAACAGCCACGTTGCCTGCTGCAACAAAACATCTGAAAGGGGGTGTTATAATGAAATCAGTTTGAGAAAGGACATGATGAAGCAAAGTAGCAGCTTCTACAGATATGAACCCTTGCAGTAAGGCTACCCCGCTCGCTGCAAGGGGTTAGTGTTTGTTTTGGTCTAGGGCAGGGGTGCCCATGAGGTAGATCGCGATCGGCTCACTGACCTGTGTCCTGTCCTCCCGCGGTGCTCGTGCGGCTGAATGTGACCAGACGCCACAGACAGGAAGGAGAGAGGAGAGGAGACTTGGGAAGCTGCTGCAGTGTAGGTAAGAAAAGAGAGACAGAAGAGAGACAGCAGATAGAAAAAGGGGAGAGAGAGAGCGCAAGGAGAGAGAGGAGAGGGCCGGTTCACACCACAATGTCTGCGTTCCAGAGTGTTCGGCCTCTAGAACGCAGGCCGGCCGGTTCCCTGCCTTCACGGGCGGGGGGGGTGTGGTGGTGCATTGAAGTCAATGGCACCACAGCCATGCCCCCCGCCCTCAGTGTGGTCGCCCGCACCCGGAACACAGGCACATTAATGCCTGCAGTCCGGTCCAACGCAATATGCAAAAATGCAGCATTTTTGCCGATCGCACTGGACCGGAACGCAGGCATTAATGTGCCTGTGTTCCAGGTGCGGCGAAAGCACTGGGGGCGTGGCTGCGGTGCCATTGACTTTAATGCACTGCTACGCCCCCTCCAAGCCCCTCATTGGTAGATCTCATTGAGCTCGTCATTTGAAAAGTAGATCTCCAGACGAAAAATTGTGGGCGCCACTGGTCTAGAGATCAAGATAAAAAAGTTATATTCACCTGATCCTTGGAGCTCTGACAGCGCTCCCTCCAGTCTGTCTCCCCCTCTACTGCAGCGATGGTATGTCCCTCCGCATCATCATGTCCTATCCAGTACACTGTGTATAGAACGTGATGATTCAGGGACCTTAGACTTCTGAGGTGGACGGGGAGAGAGGCTCCGGGGACCACTGAGGATCGGGTGAGTATAACTTTTTATACTTTATTCCCCCTAGACCAAAACGTGTACTTAACCCTTGCAGTGCTGGGGTAGCCCTACTGCACCCCTGGAGTTGTTCTTTGAATTCTTGCAAAGTATATAGTTCACCTTGAGGGAGGGGGGGTGTCTTTTCTCAGAAAACCTGGAGATGAACTCTGGGTAAAGAAAAAACTTACCCTTGCTTTGGGGTTCAGCGTTCATCTCTCTTCCCCTCTGCTGCGGCTGTGGTATGATTACGCTTATTTCCAGGGTAGGGGGGCGTGCTGGCGGTGGACGCTTATTTCCAGGGTAGGGGGGCGTGCTGGCGGTGGACGCTTATTTCCAGGGTAGGGGGGCGTGCTGGCGGTGGACGCTTATTTCCGGGGTAGAAGGGTATGCTGGCGGTGGATGATTATTTCCGGGGTAGAGGGTATGCTGGCGGTGGATGCTCTTCACCACCACCACCGTTCCGCTTAGCTCCTGGCAGTCAGTGGCGTCAGTGAGCTTGGCGGGATGCCGGCAGAACAATACAGGTTGCTTAGAGCTCTGAGTAACCTGGGACAGTCGGGCCAGAAAGGGAGCAGCAAGCACATCTGCCACTCCCCCCACATGACCCAATGAGATATGTGGGTCATGTGGGTCAGGCCGTCTCATCATAGGGACCTCCTGATGGTTGCAATGCTTTTTTTGGCTCCAATTAGAAGAAGAAAAAATAATTGCAGATGTTTTCTTTCCTGGAGAAGAGCACGTTTGTTATATTCTTTCAGAAAGTGGATTTTCCATTTAAAGAATTGCAGACTCAGCGCCTGCAGAATAGAATTCGCCGCTCACCGAGCGCTTTCACCTGCTGCCCGGATCTGCTTTGTATAAATGTTATACAAAATGTTTACAAATAAGATAAGTGCAAACAGTAACCCAGGAGAAGGCAACCTCAGACTACAAATCCCATCATGTATCTGCCCCTAGGAGTCATGCCTGTGGCTGTCAGAGTCTTGCAATGCCTCATGGGACTTGTAGTTCCACAAAAGCTGGAGTACCGAGGTTGCCTACCCCTGCCCTAACCAATTGTTAGTTTGCTTTAGAGAGATGAAAACATGCAACTCTGCAGGTCTCCCCGACAGACACACCCCCTTCAATACCGAAAACAAGATCACAAAGCTTTCCCTGCCCATGTGTGGCATGGATGAGGTCCATTAATGGATATTTCAGTTCTGTACGGCATGGAACGTG